TTCGTAATATGGGCTGCATTATAATCTCTTCTTGCGAGGCAACCTCTCTAAAGCACAAGCTGCACACGTGTCGGCCTCGGGTCGGCATGGGGCGGCGGGTGTTTTATCTGAGGCACACGTCGGTTAGGGTACCAGATCCTGTTTGCATAGACGTGGGAGGGTGCATAACCATCTGTACTACGGGGTAACAGAAATATTCCAAGGTTCAGCCTCTGTTACACTGGGAATGGACTCGTAGTGGTTCGTGGTGACGCCCCTGGCGAGAACTTAGAGAAGAGGCTGTTTTCTATCTGTGACCTTCGCACGAAACTTGCGTATGACCATCAGACCGAAGCGTATAAGCGTTGAGGACGCTATGATTACGCTGACAGAGGCCCTCGAATGCGTGAGTAGTGGCGGATGGAAATGGGTAGTGAATCGGTTGCTCCTATTCGAGTATGCTTTGCACGCAGGTGTAGGATGAGCTCGATTGGCGCCTTTTACCGTAGGCAGTCTCCTCTAGGGAGTGGGTAGCAATTCCACTTTAAACAAAACCGCGGCCGGAGCGGATCCGGTAGTTTCTATGCTGGGGAAGCCCCAATACTCTGGGAGATGAGGTGCCTTCTCTTTCTAGGGAGTGCGCGGGAGACCGGGCTGATGTATTTCGGCTTAGGTAGCCCTTTGCGGGGGTGCGAGGTTGTCTTGGTCCCTCGGGGCTGAGCTGCCTCTACACCAAGTCTGCGGCAGTAACACACTTCTGTCGTATGCGGAGGTACGTCAGCTCTCATCTTGAGAATCAAAACGTCCCATAAGGCCGGAAGGCTAGGTTTAAGGATCCTCATTGTCCTTTTAAGGACGACCGAGTATACGGGAAAGCAATGTCAAAAACGAGGTCTACCACGTACTATTTTAAACGATAATTAGCAGCTTAAGTGCTAACATTGTATTACGTATAAATTTAAATTGTCCGGGAATAATAGTTTTAGTTAACCCGTCAGTGCTTTATATTTTGCATGTAGAACTCTGGACCTAATCAACAGGTTTCAGAAAGCGTATTGAATAATTTACAGATCGAAAAATTTCGATTATTTGCATGCTACCGTATTGCCTCTCTCGGGGTCGTAGAAGGGCGTCATAACTTTAATTAAAATGGGCGTAAATATTTAAGAACCAGTTCAAGGGCGGTGGTCAAAAAATCGATGGAGACTGACGCAAATGGAAAAATTGGGAAATATTTAATATTGCAGACCCAGCTCGGTGAAAAGGGAGAAATGATGAAAATGTAAAAATATTTTTTTTCCTGACCAGATATGTCAAAGTAGCGAAAAGAAACATTTTGACTTTATCCCAAATCCAATAAACTAGGATGAACAATAAACGGTTAAAAACTCACAGAATGTCTGTAATTATTGTTAATTATCAACAAGTTGATTGGGATCTTTCAGTGAAACCAGCTTATTCACAGGCAGGTCACCTAAACATTTTCGTTTAATTTAAATTCCCTTAATCGTTTCTTTAGCGTTCTTCGTTTTTATCTTATATCCATCATTCAATTTAACACCAATTCATCTAGTCCAATTTGCCCAGATTTTAAACTTTCTTGATTAATTTCCTTGAAATGTTTATACACCGTCGTGCGCGGTTTTGTTCAATATTTCATTGCTCCTTCGTCTAAGGAATGTTCATTACTAGTTGATTAGTTCTAAATCAATCTTGGTATAGCTGTTTGCAGCTGAACATTCCATGATTCCGTTAATGGAATTGTCACTGGGGACAAAAAGGTGTTTTCAGAAGAAACTTCGACCGATAATAGTCTTTTATCCCATTTTAATTTATCAACCTTGCATTAAAATGAACGTTGGAGTTTATCAAAAACTGCCTGGTTTGTACTGTACAAAATGTCACGTATTTGACTGTTTTATACGTAGTAATTAAAATTGCAATTTAAGCTATTTTTGCACACATATGTTTCTATGTGGACTGGGTATTCAACTTATTGGCGTCCCTTGTTTTCTTCAAAACTGCCCAAGTAAAACACAATTAAACAGGATTTTGAGGATAAAATTTGCTCTCAAACCTTGCAATTATTACAGTTGTTCATTTTTTTAAGTTAAAAATTAGATATTTTTATTTTTCAAATAATGAACTACATTTTCATTTGTACATTCGTCAAGCCTATTCAATTTATTAAAAAATGGCGAAAAGGATTGGAAAATGGGTTTTGAAAAGCCTTGGATATTAAAAAATTGCACGGACATGCAGGATATCAACGGATTAGTGTTCCTGGTTTTCTTCAACAATTAAGTAAAAAAGTGTAACCAAGTAAAAAATCAATTAAACAGTTTTTTGAAGATAACATCTGCTCTCAAATATTCCAATTATTACAGTTGTTCATTTTGTAAGTTAAAAATTTGTATTTTTTTATTTATCAAATCATTAAGGACATTTTCATTTGCACATTCGTCAACCCCATTCCATTTATTTAAAAAAATGGCGAAAAGTATTGGAAAATCGGTTCTGAAAAACCATGGCTATTAAAAAATTGCACGGACATACAGGGTATCAACGTATTAGTGTCCCTGGGTTTCTTCAAAACTACTGATTTTTTTATTTCTCAAACCATAAACTACATTTTCATTTGCACATTCGTTAAGCCCATTCAATTTATGAAAAAATGGCGAAAAATATTTGAAATTCGGTTCAGAAAAGCCTTGGATATTGCAAAAGTTACACGAGTGATACAGCAAAAAATCCGTCATTTTTAAGTCAAAAATATACTACATTACATAAGGAATTCTTTGTCTTTATACTGAATGTATATATATTTTTAAAATTGTTGACAGTATTCAATGTTAATTGTTTTTATACATTTTGTCAATCATTTATTCGACTGATGTTTGATAAGTCTGTTTTAGACTGTTAGCCTTTTTTCGTTAAACATCACAATTTTCTCACTACTTTGCGGCAGTTATGTAAGAGAACAACGCCGTCCGCACAATATCTAATTACAGCATAAGAAGCGACAAATTTTCCTAAAGGCGCTACCTCATGAAATTAGACGGATCGCATCATCTCTGGATCATTCATTAAATCCGTTTGTAAGTGGCAATTAGTTACAGTGGGCTGTGCTTGGCACAGATTGGGCACACCACTACACCGCAAGGGTTGAAAAGCGGAAAACTAAAGGTGGGAGAGAGAGAGAGTGAGAGAAAAAGCTTTTTTTACGACACCCCTCTTACCGATTCCTCACTTCCTTTCTCCCTTGGTTTGCACCCTTTTAAACCCCAAGGGTCGTTTAAGGTTTTGGTTTAAAAACCCCGGGATTAAAACCTTTTAAGAATTTTTGTTATGCGGATTAGTTTGGGAGACCATTTCTTAATGATTTTACTCGGCTTATTCCTCTGTATTTTCTTGATCATCTTACTTGGCCGTAAAAATATGTATATTCCGCAAAATTTTAGCAAAACGAATGGGTGTCTTATGATCATACTCTGACTTCAAAATCTGTATATCAGGTCTCTTAGGTTCGTGTTCAGCAGTTAAACTTTGATCTATGGATAATTTTGTAAATTAATTTGTGTCATCCAAACCGTTTACGGCTTTGGATTTTCCGGGGCCATCTGACAAATTTGGTGGATGAAGTAATACAATCCAGCTCAAGAGGGACATTTTCTGCTTGTAACAAGGAAATATAATGCTTGGGATCTCAGAGAGGAGAACGGCTCTGTTTCAGCTTAACGAACACTAATGGCCGTTTTCCTTAATAACTTCATTTCATTTATTCGCCCATGCAGGTCTCCGACACTTACGTTTAACATAAATTCGTACTTTCACTTAGTTAATCTTTTTATGTAAGGTTTTGGTTGAACTGAAAAAGCTAGAGCCACGAGCGGGATTCGAACCCACGACCTTCGGCTAATACGCCGCTTTCAAATGTCGTGTAATCAGGATTCGATTCTTGGCGACATATGAAATGGCCACGGGGAGCTGTTATTGAAGTTATAATTCGTTTCACTTATTAAATCCATTATATTTAGTGGTCTATTGACCAAATTACTTCTTTCAATTAATTAGTCTTTTTATGTAAGATTATGGTTGAAATTAAAAAGTTATTGCCACGAGCGGGATTTGAAAAATGGCAAAAAGGAGGGAAAGTTGGAAAGGTAGGCTGTAATGGGGAGTTGGTGTCCGAGTGGATCGAAGTCACGATAACTCAAGTGGTAGAGCAGCGGCGTATTTAGCCAAGATCGTGGGTTCGAATCCCGCTCTTGGCACTAGCTTTTTCATTTCAACCAAAACCTTACATAATAAAGTTAATTAATTGAAACAAGTAATTTGGTCAATAGATCACTAAATATAATGGATTTAATAAATTCGTACTGTTCAATATTGTAATTAATTTTATTATTATTCAAAGCAAATCGCAGAATAGTTATCTTTTATGTAAGTACCTAGTATCAACACGTAGCTCACATAAAATTTTGTAAACGTCCGTGTTCGTCTTTAAGACCATTTGTCGCCGAGAATCAAATAGATTACACGGCATTTGCAAAAATGGCAGAAAGGAGGGAAAATTCAAAAGGTGGGGTTGAGATGGGAAGTTAGTGTCCGAGTGGATCGAAGTCACGATAGCTCAGGTGGTGAGTAGCGGCGTATCTATCTAGCCGAAGGTCGTTGGTTCGAATCCAGCTCGTGACACTGACTTTTTTATCTCAACTAAAAACCTTAATTAATTGAAAAATATTAATTGGTCATGCGAACCACGAAAATTAGTGAATTTAAGATCATTGTTCATTTAAAAAAAATTAACTGCTTGCTATATCATGATGTAGAAAGCGCTGAAAAAAATAGACTTTAACAGTTTCATGACAAGGCGGTGTTTGAAATATATTAAATTAGGCTATCTGCTGTGACTTCTGTTAAATTTGTAAATTAAATTATAATTGCCCGTCTTGGACAGTATATTTATAGCATATTTATTTGTTTAAAGTAAATTGAATCGAATTATCTTTTTGTTCCAGGCTGAAAATCTTTTGATGGACTGCAATATGAATATTAAAATAGCTGATTTCGGATTCAGCAATTACTACACGCCTGGTGAACAGTTGGCCACTTGGTGCGGTTCACCCCCGTACGCAGCTCCGGAAGTCTTCGAAGGCAAAAAGTATACAGGGCCCGAGATAGACATTTGGGTAAGAAAAAGACCAAACCTGGCTCGAAAAATATAAGTCAAATATGGAAAAAAAAGAAACGTGGGTCCTTTCCAGTATAAAAACAGTTTTTATTTAAACGATTGTTATTAAATTAAAAGCAGTTGTTTCCTACTTCCGAAAATAAGGCTAAAAAGCTTAATAAAACGCGGAGTTGCCCTCATTTCGACTCAGTTCTTAATTAAAAGTTACCGCCCTGCCCCAGCCCCATCAACATTCCGGAAAACTGCCAACATATTTTTAAAGCGGAACAACTGGCGATTTTTTTTCTTTCTTTTTATTGTAACTTCAATGTAATGTTATTCCTGTGTATAGACGAGGTAACATGGTGTCTATGTCGCAGAGTCTGGGAGTCGTCCTGTACGTCCTCGTCTGCGGAGCCCTGCCCTTTGACGGATCGACACTCCACACTCTCCGAGACAGGGTTCTTTCTGGCAGGTTCAGGATACCCTATTTTATGAGCTCAGGTATTTTATGTATAATATAAAACTTATCACCACTGATTAAAAAATAAATATCCACTAAATCAAGTAAATTATGAATTTGTCAGTATAACATGGCTACAGAACGCCTGAACCTATTTCATTTTCGACTAACCTTATAATTTCAACGTTAGTCGTGATATTGAGGATAATGATGAAGTATGGGAAGATGCCAGATAGAGAAAGAAAATAAGTTCAAAAGTTCTACTTCTGTACAAGAGCAATTTGATCAAAATTTGGTCCTTTGTTCCGGTCATTATTTATCTCTCTAAGTCTGGATTCAGTGAGCACTGTTCAAGGAAAAAACAATGAATAAAAAGGATACGAACATTTATTAGACTCTACATTCGCAAAAATGACATATACACTCAAAAAGACGGTTTAGGGACAACGTCAACCACTTTCTAAAAATAATTGGCTGAGAACTATTTCATCTATTTGAAATACTTGCCAAAACAGAAAACTGCCATCTTGGACTTAACATTACCAGTATCAACACCAAACTCAGAGGACTGGTAGGACCACTAACCGGTCACTGGCATCTGAGAAAACATCTGCCCAACATGTGTATATACAGCGATACCCCCATTTGCAGATTATATAATGAGGAGGAGGAAACAGCCACTCATATCAGCTTCGAATGCTGAAGCGACAGCTCAATGGAGCTTTAACCTAACGTACGGAAAAAACTTAGGGAATCAAATTGCAGCAGCGACAGTCAATGACCTGATACTTCTAAGAAGAAGGATTGAGTCTATTGCACTAAACTAAGGAACTAGGAAGGTACAATACAATAAGCCAGAAGGCTACAGTGCCTGGGGAGTGCAAACCTCGCTTCGTAGTATCCTTTTCTACCATACCAGTATCAACAACAAAAAAGTATTCCAAATGTTCAGAAAACCCCTTGAAACCGACAACAAGAACGCACAGTCCAACAACTCACACAAACGCAAAATTGCAGCACTACGACATATGATCCACAGACTAAAAAAACCCGACACAACATTGAAAATTACAACAAAAAACTACAAATAATAACGAAAATAATAATAAAAAACGAATACAAAACAAGCACCATCCAGAAACTATTCAAAAACAACGGAAAATCAAAATTCAAAACAATACCTGTACAATATTCACATGCACAGGAAAAGAAACCTACAGTCTAACAAGCTTGTTTTACAAACTGGGACTAAAAGCAGCTATGTAGTACCAACGGGTAAACTATTAAAAAAGAAACAGACACACATGACCCGCTTGATACGGTGTTTATTGCATCACAGGTCTATGCCTGATTTGGAAGGAAATTAACACATCGATGCAAAGAGCATCTCAAATCCTTCACAGAACGACGTGAAATTGTCACAGTCACGAACCAAACACAATAGAAACAAGCATGACTTGATACACAACGTACAAAAAGGACGAAACCTCAACGTACTGGAAGACCTAGAGATATACAAACAAATAACACTTCAATTCGCAAACTTATAAATGCATAAATAAACCCACATTCACACACTACTTTCACACTATTACAAAAAAACGCAAACATTGAAACCAACAAGACCATAAAACCAACAACTAACGCACAAATAGTAATCCAAAATTACCGACGATACGACCAACCAATGAATACCGTGACCAGGCCCCCTATCCCAAACGCACCTAGCGATACCCGACTGACCCAACGACATATAAGCCTTACTCTGCAAAGAGACGTTCCTCACTGAAGACAACGCGATCCCGAACTAGTTTGTTCTGTTCGAAATGGTGTTCGAGTGTTCTTCAACAAATCAGCGAATGAAGACGGACCCAATAAATGGCCCAATACCGGTTCAGCATAAGTTCTTCCACTCGCAGACCAACACTTAGCATCACACTATTGAATTATGTTACGTTATGATATATTTTAAAAACTGGCTCAAGTTATTTTTTTAATGAAACGTTTAAATTTTGCGTTCTTCTTCCAATAAATACAACAATTAACTTTTCCTGTAACTTTTTTTCGTGTAAAACCCAAATCTACGCTCGATAATCGACGAGACTGGACGGACCCCGAATAACGATCATATAGCCATTCATGCAAAAGCGGACCATGTCATTTGAAATTAAAATTATATTTGTGAACATGGTAGCGGGCAATCAAGCCCGGGACAAATGGTCAACCACACGCAAACCAGCCAACAAAGCTTAACATCATAAAAGTTTTAAAAAAATCCTATCGTTAACTAATGTGACTTTACTTCGTCTAGCGTACTCGTTACTGTTAATAAGATGCAATTCAATAATGAAATTTCCTGACAAATTACCATGCTCTTTGTGTTCCTGCCTTCATGACTGTTTCTTTATTTTATTCATTACAAACTTGTATTTAACCCGCCCTCCTTTTTCTGATAATTAATCCTCTGTAACACAATGAGTCTTTACCGCAAGCAAGATCATCGGCTAGCCTTCTTTCTTTCATGTTTTACTTAGAAAAAATGCAAGATATAGAGTTGGAAACCGATCTTATTACTTTTTATTTCTCAACTTGTGTTATGTTGGAACATTTTTCCGGTTTACCGAAACATTTAAATATATTTTTCTGTCAGAACATAGTGTACTTTATCATGTTGAGGCGAATAATTTGTTTCGGATTAATATCCTGACCCTTACCAATCAACTCAATCGCTCATAATGTTCTAACTTACTAGAATTGCTATGATCATGGCACCACCGATTTTAGAAAAAAGTTTGTCGGTTATTCTAGGTTGAAAAATATTAGACACGACTCCCAGCGTTCTTGCCAATAGGGGTGAAAAAATAGTTTAAATAATTGAATTTTTTTATAAGGATGTTTGACCTTGTTGTGTATGCATTTGAAAGTTATTATAATATTTCAGTCGATTCTTTTTTTATGTACAATAAGAAAATAAATTTGTAACATCGTATGAAACGAGATCAGATATAGAAAATTTGTAAAAGCCAAAATAATTACTTTGTAAAAAGCACGAAAATTATCAAGTAAACATGAACATGAATATAATCAATCAATAATCATGCCGTACATAAATTATTTTATGACCTAACGACGTAGGAAAGTTAATTACAATATGATTTTACCAAGAATATAAGGTGATATTCATTTTTTCACCTCCAAAACCCCCCAGACGCAAATTCATTATTTTTTGTTGTTGGGGATGGTGGATAAAATAATTCCATCTGAAATCTTACTTCTTTTTTTTAAGAACAAATATATTAATAACTCTAAACTATTCCACCAATTTACAGTAAACTTTACAGACGTTTAGGACCCTATAACCTACCCTTAATGCTTTACACGTAGGCCCTGTAAATAAATTAGAATTAAAGATAAAGAACGTTTGGGGATCTTTTGCAGATTTCATTATATTTTTCTTACTTAAAATGATATAAAATCCAAAAGGTTGTTAATATACGCTCGTATACGAGAAACGCAGCTTTCTAAAGGTTGTAATGCCGTAGAAATTGGATAAGTAAAATGAATTTTTAAGTAGCACACTGTACATCAGTGAAAAATAAAGCAGATGCAACAATAAAAATGTCTATTTTTGTTGCCTTAAATATTCATATTTAAAAGCTCTAAAAGGTGCTTAAAACATAACTCTATTACTTTTTCTAAAAAATAAAATATTTTAAAAAATTGTCCTGTTTTGCTGGAAGCATATTTTCGTTTTTGTAACTTTTTATACTTCGAATCTCACTTAATACAATCTTGTATATTGTTTTTTTTTCGTTAGATCTAGGTGAATAAATTTAATCGAATGGTCTTGGATTGGGTACAATATATTTTTGTAAACAAAAAGAGACTTCTGTTGCAATATATTATCTATATATGTGAAAAGAACATTATTTCAAGAGAATAATCACATAATCAATTTTTATACTTAATAGTTTATTCTATTTAGCTTTCATATTAAAGTTTTAATGCAATCATAAATTTCTTCCAAATAAAACCTTGACATAAAAACGTTTTCAGGTTCGTGCGTATATCTTATAATTTTCTTCTATGATAGACTGAACTAAATAAACTTTTAAAAAGCAACAGTGTTTTGATTGTTCAAATTATTGAATGATGGAAGTCCTACTAGATTTTTATTTTAATTATTCTGATCCAGGATCCCTTTAGCTATGAGCAGCTTTAAAAATATGAAAAACCGAAATCTGTTTTATTTACAGGTAAACAACAATGAAAACATTTTAATTTTTTTAGGATTATTTTGATTATAGTCAATAGTATCTTACTAGCTCCCACAATTTTGATATATTTCTTTTAAATATTACTTATATTTTATAAAAAGAGTAATATTTTTATTGATAAAGTAAATAATGGCCAAAGATTTTAAATGACATTAAATGTCCCATATGTGAAAATATTTTACAATTATTTTCCACGAATGATTTGAATTTTATGAATTTTCTGTACCGTCTAAAAGTAATAAATGACAGGCCTTAATGGTGAAAACATAATATCATATTGCAATTAATTAAGGTTTTTAGTTGAGATAAAAAAGTCATGGCTCGAGCGGGATTCGAACCCACGATCTTCTGCTAAATACTCCGCTGCTCTACCAGTTGAGCTATCGTGACCTCGATACTTGGACACTAACTTCCCATCTCAACCCCACCTTTTGAATTTTCTCTCCTTTTTACCATTTTTCATGTCGATTAGACGACATTTGAAAAATGGCAAAAAGGAGGGAAAATTCAAAAAGTGGGATTGAGATGGGAAGTTAGTGTCCGAGTGGTTCGAGGTCACGATAGCTCAAGTGGTAGAGCAGCGGCGTATCTAGCCGAAGGTCCTGGGTTCGAATCCCACTCGTGCCATTGACTTTTTTATCTCAACTAAAAACCTTAATTTATTGTAAGTTTATTCATTTTTCTTTTGTACTAACTTATACATCATTTCTTATAATATGGCTGAGGAAAAAATTCTTTAGGATTTTTTTTAATCAATGTTTCCACCAATCGTTATTTCTTTTTGTCATAATGTCGATTTTTGCATAGCCTGTAGTAATCATAGCGTTTCTTGTTGTTTTCGTCGATTTATTATTGTAAAATGTTCGTTTATTGCATTTGTTATTTTTCATCAATTTGGAAATAGATTCAGTATCTCTGGAAAAATTCAGGAGGGTTTGTAAATATTTATAAAAAATGACTCAAAACTAGAGATTACGTAGACAAATGAGAACCGCTTTCTACCCTTTGGCGATAAGCAAATCCAAGGCTTGCTTCAAAATATTTCCCATACACACGGGTCATCAGGATATTCTCACTCGTGCCATTGACTTTTTTATCTCAACTAAAAACCTTAATTAATTGTAATATATTAATTGGTCAAGCGGACCACGAAATTAGTGAAAATAATATCATATATTATACAATAAGTGGGAAAAAAATTCCTCTACAAAAGGGCTCTGGAAAACCAGTGGTTTCTCATTTGTAAAACATATTTTTTTTATTACTCCTTATCGCTTTAAAAAATGAATCCAAAACGAACAATATAACTCAATTTGAACAAACGATAAACCATGCATTGCAGGAAACATCTATTTTACAGTTATAGTCGACAATATTTACTGGACACGTAAATCTTTTTTCCAAATTTAATCGGCTTGTAATCCGCTTAATCCTTTTCGAACATGTCTGCGGTCTTTTCAGCAAAATAGCATAAAATTGTGATTGAAAGTTAAAAAAATTAAATGGCGAACAACCTCTTCCCATGTTGAGGTCGTCATGCAACCCAACGATCGCTTTGTTTTCCACCGGGTATCTTATAATTTTTAACTTTTTTGAAATCTCCAATCCGATTTATTTTCATCAATTCAGACAGACAAAATCCACCACCATCTCGCTCTTGATGATATAGATTTAGCGATCCGAGGCTGGACGAAATTGGATAGATCTGAGTTATAGATTTAAAAAACTGTTTTCAGCCTCAATTTAATTTGAACCATCGTACAGAAAAAGTTTCGATTTCTAATTTAAGGTGGGAAAACCCCTACCCCCTACAAAAATGTCCTTTTTGTCGATATTTTCAGTTTATCTTAATGTAATTCCTTATTTCGAAAGTTCGAATTTGATTTTTGCATATGAAATTAACCACCGCCTGGCACACTTAGGTGGAAAAATACGGAAGGATCGCATTTCATGAAAAAACACTGAGATTATTAGCACTGTGACAAAACTTTTCCTTCCCTGAATATTAATTAATCTTTATGTAAGGCATTGGTTGAAATGAAAAAGCCAGTGTCACGAGCGGGATTCGAACCCACGACCTTCGGCCAAATGCGCCGCTGCTCTACCACTTGAAAAGTCACGATAGCTCAAGCAGTAGGTAGAGCAGCGGTGTATTTAGCCGAAGGTCGTGGGTTCGAATCCCGCTCATGACACTGGCTTTTTCATTTCGACCAATACCTTACATAAAGATTAATAATAATAATATTAAGTAATAAAGTAATATTATTGTTAATAACGATGGGTAATCTATTGACCAGATCCATTTTTTCTTTTTTTTATGAGCGAATGGGGAGTATAGGTTGTCCGAGAGAATTGTTGATAAAATACTGCTTTACTGCGGGTGTGTACAGATGGGATGTGGAAATTAAGGTAAAAGAGCAGCTGTAAAAGATCGATAATATTGTTAAGAAGGCTGTGAACCCAACCAGCCCTATTTCTTCTTAAGAGGACGAGCCTAAATGTATAGATTTTGTTTAGTTACGAAAATGGATTATTAATGGAATTGGTTTGAGGTGACCAAATACAACTAGACAAGACGAAGGTCGGACAGAAGGAGATAGACAGTTCAGTGGAGTGTGAAGTCAAGAGAGGATCTTTATAAGAATCCTAGCAATTCAGTAGGCTGTTATGCAGATGGTATCTGGAGGTTGTCACGTGAAAAGACGTCAATATTTAAGGAGGTTATTCCATATATCAAATTGGACCAAAAAGTATCTATTGTCTGATTCTCAATTGTATTTCACATTAGACCACAACTTTATTCCATGAAGTCCCTCGTATCATATAAAATCGTAATCCTAACTGATTTAGAGTTGGGTGTACAAAATAAAAAGTGATTGACAGAAAGTGGAACGATTACTACTACGTGAAGGTCGGGTATGTTCGGAACAAATTCTGTAAGGATCGATCGATATCGTTATGTCCCTCATTCTAGGAGGGATCCTGTTCGTTCCCGGCATCCCTGTCTGCGAACGGCTTCAAGATCTCGGTATAGCGTGATTCCGATAAATGCGAACGACGGAAATCTAGCGGTGAAAGGGGGCAGGCGAACGGATTGCGAGGGGTGTTCGAAGAGTCGGGGATGCTGATACCACCCCCTTGTATTTGCGTCATTGTGCCTCCTGACGTCATAGCAACCCCCCGAACCCCCGCGACCTTTGCCATTACCGACCCCGCTTTTAGAACCCGGCCAACGAGCCACGAATCCCGCAGAGCTTCGAAACAAAAACGGCTTTTGTTTAAAAATCCGATGCCTTCCACCCCACGCCCCTGAAATCCCATTTGGTCTCATTTAAACGGGGAGACAATCGCTTAAAATAAATGCAAACCAAAGGCGATCGTTATGCAATCTTTTTCTCTCTCCAATAAGAAGTAAACGGCAATACTATTACAGGAGTTTTTAGAAACCCATAACTTATGAGACATTCCGTTTTACACAGTTGCTAAAAACAATATGAATAATTTCTATTATTTTATGAAGTCTTTTATCTGATAACAAAAAAATTATGTATTAGCGTTTCACTCGAAGTAATAACTAAGTAATAATAAGGGTAATATTATCGGGATTAAACTTGGATTTTGATCGACCGTTATGTCTCAAGGGGACGTTCAGATTCGAGGTAAATTCGTGTGAAACTTCACTTCTTTTCACTTTCCCCAAAGTGTTTTAGGGATATTCATACCGCACTGAGACAAACCAAAGCCTGTACGACCTCAGGGGAGTAATAGGGTTATATTCCAGCATATGAGAAAACACCTACTCAACATTAGGTCAATGATGACACCCATTTGTAGGTTATGCAATGCACGTGTATAAATGTATTATTTTTAGAATTCTGCTTTACAAAAAAGCCATACCATGAAATTGAATTTCCGTTCCAGCTAGATGAAAGCTGTACGTAAATAATTGGTCGAATTGGACTTCCGGTGTACATGGCCTTCTGCCATTGTTTAAAAACGGTCACAAGAACTGTGACCTGCGTTGGAAAGATTAACTGCCTTGCCACAGGAGAGTTTGGCAACCGGTTCGGGTCTGTTGGTATAGGGTCCAAAGTCAAGGTGGCCGAGAGCCCAAAATGATTTATGAGATATGGGCAAGTGTTTTCTTTCCGAATGTCTATTGATTTAGTCGCAAATTGCTCAGCTCAGCTAAATCTTGAGAGAAGAGGACCTGATACTCTCCTGTAATAAATTAAAAATCGTTCGGTCTTCTCCTAGGCGACTTTCTATTTCATTCTTCACTGGAATGCCTTGTCTAAATGGGAAATATTTCTGCCTACTACTAAAAAAACCTTTTAGGCACATTAGATGATTCTGTTAACTTTTTCGTCAATAAAAGGAAATTATAGTATTAAATTTTTTGTTGGTTAAAATTATAATACTAACCAGCACTACTACGGTGTGAGAATGGTCCATAGTATTTCCTACTTTAGTTATCCGCTATCCAATTCGGTTAATAATATTAAAAGCACATTAAGACACTATGTAAATAATAGTAATATTTAGTCATAAATTAATACAGAACAAATCAGCCTGTTACATGTTTGAAGGAAATGTGTCCATGAATAAAGACAAAGGAAATATGCTGTATGATATAATGATAATTTGTTTTTCATTGAAATATTAAGTGTCTAAAATATCTAATTTTTAATTTGATTACTGATTAACATTTTAATGTGAAATAATGTTTGTTTCAGATTGTGAGTCTCTAATTCGAAAGATGTTAGTATTAGAGCCAGGTAAACGATATTCCGTGGAACAAATTAAACGGCATAGATGGATGGTGGAGGAAGCGCCAAGGCTCTTACCTTGTACAAGCATAGGAGATAACAAACTTGCAGAGCCCAATGAACAAATTTTAAGGCTAATGCAAAGTCTGGGTATAGATGCTGCTAAAACAAGAGAGGTGATCTATTGTAGCAAAATATTTTAGCGAATTGTATCATTTTGCTAATAATTGTTTTGTTTTATCCACAGTCCCTCAAAAGTGGAAGCTATGACCACCATGCTGCTATATATTTCCTTCTTTTGGAAAGGATGAGACAACATAGAAGTACATTTACATTAGCTCAGGAAACGTCTTCAGGAGTTGCAAGTGGTGCTAAGGTTCAAGAAAGAACCGATGCAACACAAAAAAGGAGGCCCAGTACAATAGCTGAACAAGCTATGAGGAAATTAGGTCTTTCTGGCATGAACCCTGTCTTAAATCAAGGTGCCAACATTCATGTACCAGATCAACAACAACCACAGCAGCAACAGCAGCAGCAACAATTTAAAAGAATAGGAGAACAAAGCAGACTTTGTTATACTCCAGATTCTTTGGCAAGGGAACAACAAATACAAAGTGCGTTGCAACAGTTGACAGTTGCTAATGTTGAGCCCGTAGAGCCAAAGCGATCAAATAGTTTTAGTCGTCCAACTCATACTACGGATAGCGGAAGACAATCACATCCACCGTTCAGAGAAATGAGCTCATCACCTCAATCCAGCCCTCCATTAGCTCCAATATCTCATAAAATCCAAGGATCCACAGAACCAGTTGTTCCTACTGACACGTCCCTTAGTTTTGCTACTTACAGGGAACCAACTACATACACAACCACAAGGTATTCTACTTCTTTTGGAGGTTCTTTTTCAGGTGGTGTACCACAGTATTCCAGTTCAACTGATGAAGGGGTTGAAACAGATTTGGAAGAAACTACTAATACAACACAAATCCCTCAACAACGATTGTCCTATGCAAGTTCCTCATCGTCAAGTGGTGTCGGAGTTCACAATAAAAGTTTAAGTCAACATTTAAGTTCAGATTCATCTTGTTCTTCATGCCACGTTTCTTCATTGCATAGTAATTTTTCTACTTTTGAAAGTAGTTTAGATTATCAATTTGAAACTGAATTGGGTTCCAGTCTCCCATCTTGCACAACCCAAGGAAATAGTAAACCATTAATATCTGAAAGTGTTATTATTAGCACAAGTTCTATACACCCAGGGGTTTATGTAAGCAGTGATGGTTCAAATCGCTCCTGGTGTAGGCACAGCAATTATGGTACAAACTTACCCACGAGTGGGCATTTTAAAACAAGAAAAATCACTCGTTCACCTGTTGATTTTCGGGAAGGACGACGAGCTTCAGATGGTTTAGTTGCTCAACATGGCGTTTCCACTACAGATGGTTCCACGTTAAGTCCTCCAATTAATACTACCGTAGCATTTAATAGTCAAAAATTGAACGAAAGCGGGAAAGCGAAAGGTGTTATGGAATTACATTTAGTTCAACGTGAACACCAAGCATTAAAATCCCAATACCAAAGCTCAGTACCACCGGAAGAATTAATTCAAAGGCAGTTACAGCATTCGGAGTACAGACAAAGAGATAATTCAGCAGAATCTCGGCAACAGAATTTACCAAAGCGTATAAGTTTGCCTGAAAATTTCACCTTTCCAGCACCGGGGATGACCCAATCTTTAGAAGCTGAAATGTTAGCAAGTGTAACTGCTCCACCTTCTTCCAAAGCACCTTTACAACAGCAATTGATGCAACACAGGTTACTTCAGCAGAAAAGACAACTATTGCAAAAGCAAGGGACTTTTCAATCGACGAGTACTGATCCAAATGTTAATATGATTCTCAACCGACGACAAATGCTCAGACAAGCTTCTTATAAACTAGCCCAGCAAACACAAATAGTTCCTCCATTACCAATACATTGTGAATCGAGTTTTCCTACAATTGATGAAGATAGCACCAACGGTTCTGGAAGCCCTCGACTTCTTCAGCCCCTTGTGGATGAAAAGTTCGCTTCTGTTCTTGAACCCAATAATGAACAATGGAGCGCCCTGCCCAATTCTTTTGCATCTTGCCAAATACGCGAACCTACAGGCAACCAATGGACTATGGGGACTGGAGGAGAAGCAGGCATTCATTTAAACACACCATGGCAGCCATCCATTTTCACAACAACGCAACCAATTCCAGCCTGGAGCCAGGTATTGCATAAGTAGCCTTTTAGAATTGTAGAAAAACTACTTATTATACAAATATAATCTAAGGTATTTTAAATTTTCACAAAAGCAATGAGAGGCATATTATTCCACTTATAAAATTATATTAATTCTAATAATGATAGTTTGCTCTGTTCTGAATTGCATACTTCATTTTAATTTTATTTAGCAGAACACCAAAGTTAAAACACCAAATTAAAAAATAAATATTTAATAGAAGATAGCATAAGTTTCACCCTAGAAACCAAGCAAAATTTCAAAGATTTCCATAATTATACACAATTTTAACAGAATTTGTGGCACAGATTTCTACCATTTAAAAAATATTTTGCACCGTAAAATTCTGGAAGAAAGCTTAAGGTGTAAATTTTTGAGTTAGTTGTAGAACTATAGAAATTGTAACATCTAAAATTTATGTAGGCGCTAATGTATATTTTATTTTATGAATGTATCTATAGTATTTTATTATGTTCATTCGTATATCATTTCTCATGTACATAGTTATCACAAAATTTATTTTTCTCCCTTTAGACCAAATTTTAAATTTAATCCGTGCGAATTGCAATAATTGTTACCGATGTTTCTAGAGTTGTAAATACAAAGTGTTTTATTATTACTTTTTGTATGTTTTAAATTAATGACATTGTCAATATCTTTTAACAATAAAATATTGTTACCTATGTAAATATTTTAGATTTTTATAGAAAAAAAAATGTGATCTATACACATCAGTTTCCTTTTTTTCTCGTTTTTTACCTAAACTATGATGACAATTGAAAATATTTACTAGTTCACTGATATAATAATTAAGGATCCACATTGTTTGAAATAACATTTTATACTAATAGTTGATAAGATTTTATAAAAGTAATCATTATTAGATCCATAAAACCATAAATGAATAAATATATTGAAAAAATTGTTTAATCTCATCATTAAATCCCCCTCATTTGGCTTTTGCATGCTATCATCGTTTGATTACTTGGCTGTTGCATGTAACTTTCTCCTTCCCACTCCATTATACGAAACACATTTCTCTTATATTATTGTTGCTTCATTTCTTGAGTATTTGTTTTTGTCTAATATTTGTTTTCACGGTACATTCCTCAATAATTAAGCATTTCTGTGAAATTGGTGTTGTTTACAGATAACACCAAGTGGTGGAAAAACAACAAATTCACAGATCTTGTCATCCGGATTGCTTTGGCCTGCCCCAATGCAAGCAGTCAGTGAGAGCCCTATTCTAGAGCTTTCTGAGCAAATGGAGTTAATGTAATTCATAGTACTTATTTATTCTTCAGAATACATCGATCTAATTTAATTGTAATGTTAATGATATAATTGTAAGGAGTGACATATCTATTAAAAGTAAAGAAGAAAATAATCTAGTTGAAAAACAGTCCAAAGTGATTATATGACATGGATGTTTGGTGTGCATGTTGTTTTTGGGTATTCCTTGTACAAATTTATGTTCAGAATACCTAATTTAAACAAAAAATATATTTTTATTACTTAAAATTATAAAAATTTATTTAAATTATAAATGGATTTTTTTCCCCCAATTAATTATATCGGCAGCAATGCTATCACAATACAAAAATTACTATATTCACTCAACAAAACCTTCAATTCGTTTGAACTTTAGCATGTTTTACTTTGCACACATACCCATTGTGGTGAACACAAAGCATAGTTAATCAGCATGATCAGTAACGTATAATGACTCAAGTTGAAAGTGGCTTCAGTATATTTTGTATAATAAGTCATTTGGGTTTTAAAATAAAATTAATCAATTACTCACTTCAAATTATCTTTGTACTTTTATATATTGATAATTGAACAAATAGCTGCTGAAGCTTACCATTCATTTCTGGAAAGAAAGACAATCTTATTAAGAAACATAATGTGACAACAAGGAATTATTAAACATTACGTATTTAAAAATGTAAAATTAAGCTTTACAATAATTTTATTTTTAATGTTAAACAATCGCTATATTAATAATTGACATGTAACTAAACAATATTGCCCAGTACTTGATCAATTTCATTGTTTGATTCATTTCTTCAGAATTAGGACTGTTGACAGAATTTACCAATATATGCAATAGAATGTTTATATTTGTCAATTAATAGGAAACCATTTCATACCTGATCACAATATTTTGAACAAAAGGAGTATTTTTTGGCAACATTATAAGTTTATCTTTATCTAATTCAAATGTAACAGAGTAATTTTTATTGGATCAATCCATCAAGATAATTTTGTCCATAAGATTTGCTAGTTCAGTTTAATTCTCAACTGAAAACCCTAAATAAATTTGCTTAACTGAATTATTTCAAAGTTAGTAAAATGGAAAATTATATATTCATAGATGTGTCAATGTAAAAAAAATATATATATAAATTACATTTTTCTGTAATTATAAAAAAAGTATGAACTTACTTTTTTTTGCGAAAATTTATTAAAGAAAAAAATAAGGCCTACAATAATGTAAGCGTATTTTGCTATAAATGCTAGCTGTATGTATGCTAAATATGGTTGTCTAGAAAATAATATTAAGTGAAAAGTTTAAGAGGGAAAGTTGTAAATGAGTGATGTAATGAAACATGCACTTCATATCTAACTTGGAGTTAGAACGATGTTGATTTTAATTGTTACTCTATCAAAGTTAGCAATAATCCTTTATATAATCATATGCATGAGACCTGGTTGGGTCTTATCTCAGACAATAGTTTAAAAATACGTTCATGTTAAGCTTCTGTATTTGTGGTTATGAATCATCTGTGAGATTATGTTCTGCAGGCAGAACTGTTTTTGTTTATATGTGGATGTATTTGTACTTAGCAGTGTCATAATCTGTAGATTACATTAAATATGATTAAGGGAAAACTACGTATTAACCAAGAGTAAAGAAATTAAAGAGTAACAGTTCTTTTTTCTTTTTTAATAGAAAAGCAAAAAATGCTCAATGCCTAAACCAATCATTACTGTTCTGTTTTAATCAGGACACTTTTAAAAATAAACCTGTATAAGTTGTAAAAATTGTTTAAATGGCAATGGAAAATTACAAAATGGTATTGAACATGTTTGAGGACTTCTCTATGTAATGTAAGTGAGCTTGCACTGAAAAGACTTGACAAGAAAATAAAACAATCTCTGCTCTCTTAAAATAAAAAATAAAATCAATTGTACCAATGATGCACCAAAATTGGACCCAAAAGCGAATTAAAACTATTATAAATAAATTATTAAATTAAAGATTAAATTTATATTTTTCTTTCCTTCACTATCAAAATAGACACAGGTCAACAGTACAAGGAATTTTAGAAGAAAACTGCCTCCTTTAAAGGTAAGTGAATTATAAAAATGAATAATTTTGATCTGTTTTTTGTAAAATTTGTCCTATTAACTAGCAATGGAGTTTGAATTGTAAATTTCCAATAATCTTCAAGGAGACAAAGGATAAATATGATACATAAGTATATTCATTATATCGAGATCATTGTATTTCTACGGTAAAAAATGAAAAATGTGTTAAACCGAAAGTTTTAATTTTTTGAGTTTATTATACATATGTATTGTATGTAAATAAAGGTATAAAGCTAAATGCTTTGTATAGGGAGGGTTTTTCGCTTGAATAAAAATACCATCTTTATATAAATTTCGATTTAATATATTTTTTAAGCCTTACAGGCTTCCTCCTCAGAAATATTTCAAAAGGCATTTTTTTTTTTTAGGAAAATGTAAATTGATACGTTGAGAACGAATTTGAACATAAATAGTCTGATTTATAATAATAAACAGTTTTCCTTTGTTTACAACAAATCACTAAAAAAATTTTTTTTTTTTAATAAGCAGATTGGGGGCGTCGGTGGCAACAATGGTTTAGGCATTGACACGGCGCTCATCACTGTAAGGTAAAGGTCCCGGGTTCAAATCCAACAGCCCTGCAATATTTACAAATGGGCTTTTTTTCAAAAACACCAACACCCCGAGGGTTGATATAACCTCTGCAGTTGCAACCCTCGTAAAAAAAAGAAAAAAAAAGAGTTGTTGAAAACAGCTTACAAATTTTAATATATGCATTCGTATTAATATATTCATCTTGGGTTTCCTGTTCAAAAATATTCTATTAATCATGTCTGAACTGTTGATATTGTGAGGCTGAGGAGGCTGAGATGAATGAAGCTTCAAAAATGTATTAAATTGGAATTTATTGAATTTTTTTTTTTTTTTAACAAAAATTGATTAGTTTTATTTTTTATATAAGCCCAACTCTCACATGGATGTGCATATATACGTGTATAGAGCTGAGTGTATCACTTCTCGCAGTCTACCAGCAATTCCAGCTTTTTAAATTTACAATAAATTACCGACAGGCCTCGAGAATCAGCCACACTCTGTTTTGACAGTACAGGGTCAAACCTAGGTTGACCTCCATGGACTATCAACAGCTAGCTCATAAATATGTTTCTCGGAAAAAAAAATTACTAACACCAAATACAATTTATAAGAAATTAGTTTTGCCTCATTGATAAAGAAACTGTGAAACTACTTACACTATGTTCTTTAAATGATTCAATTCTGTATGCGGAACCGACATTCGTGTCAATCATATAACACACACTCACAAGAAAAGTGACACAACTCAACAAAAGAAAATTCTCCAGCAGTGACAAATAAAAGTATACTTTTTTTATGTATTAAGTACATTTTGTCTTTCGTTTCTACAAAACTTAAGCAAAAACCCCTAAAAAACTACATATTTTTGAGTTGACACTTTTTTTATAGTAACAACAACATACAAACCTATCAAATGAGTGTAAATATCCATGTCGTAAGTTATGTAGGTTGTTTTCAATATAATTCAAATATAATTGTTTGTTTGTATTAATTTTTTTACTTAAATTATTTTTTATCTACAATTGTGCATGTATTATATACAGTCAACAGATTGGATTTCAATTTATGGTTATGGCAATTCGGGTGTTATAGAGAAAGCTACCCATTGGTAGCCAATCTGGATTAATAAACTGATATTAATCATTTAAAAGGTCTCATATCCATATTCTTTTCAGACGTTTACAGGGTACTTGTGGGAAATAAAATAATCGTATTTGTGTTTGTGTGTTAGTGTGATTTTGTAATTTATTATGAAAACGTCTGTAATATATTTTGATGGATGAAAAAACTGTTAGCCTGGGAAAATCTCTGTGATCTGTTAATTGTTAGATAATTAGTGATCTGTTTATTATTACTTTACTATTATTCCAATTTTTATGTTGAGAGTTGAGAACAAAATTAGAGTCGGGAACAGGACTTGAACCCACAACCTTCAGCTAAAAGTAAGTGAGATAAGTAAGTTGAGTGCAAAAACTTGAAGGTTGGAGTCTCGCTTGTGATACTAATTTTTCTTTTCAACTGTCTTTGCAAAACAATTGGGAATAATCAGCATTAATTACACTGTTTGTATTTTATTTCTTTTATTATAGATAGATAATAAACTTCGTTCAATACATCTCAATTTTATTTTCATCAAACCCAAAACTGTACATTAATAATATATTTTTCTTTTTTATATATTTGTAACCTATACCGATTTGTATATATTACAAATGTGATCACTGTATGTTGTTCTTATCTCGCAATCACAGCACTAGCACAAATGCCAGTGTTACAAATGGAGAATACATGGCATGGAGGTTCGAGGCCTTCTTCGATGAAGGCGACGTGGTAGGTTCTTGGGATAGGAATGTGTAGAGTGGTCTCGATCTGTAGGGTTAGGATGGATCTAAAGGTTGATGTGAAACTTTTGGAATCAGGAACGGATCAGTTTGCTGACAAAAGGAATGTTGAGGTCGTGAATAGTGAGGTTTGTGATGTAGTACGGAGCTTTGACGATTTGTTTGAGGACTTTTGAATGGAAGGATTGTATGCGTTGGATATTGGATGGATTGGCAGAATGCCACAGTTCTACTCTGTATCTCCAAAGTAGTCACAGTAATGTCTTGTATAATGTTAGTTGAATCTTGATAGTCAAGACAGATTTTGGTCCTAGGGTTTTTTTGTAGTTGTTCTGTTGTCTTTTAAATCTTGTGTGGGGATTCCACATCAGTCTGTTCTCTAGATATAGTCCTAGGTATCTGATTTGAGTGGAAGTTGGTATCCCTTTGTTGTTGCACAGTGGAGGACAAACTGTTTGTTCAATGTGAACATTTTCAATAATAAAAATTAAATTAATTAAGTAGATTAATTTCTATGCCAAATATTTTTATGTACATATTTAAAATAGGAGATAAATCAAAATATATTATATTAATTATGCATTTTTCCCAAGTTTAATTTTACATTTTTTTAATTTCAAATCAATCTAGTTGCCACCCTTTGTTGAAACGTTTAACACTGTTGTATTTAAATTTAAATTGTGTTTTGTTTCATTTAAACGAGATTCATTGGAATGTCGCATTAGCGGTCGATCGGTGGGTTCAGTCTTACAATCCATGTTGGGAGACGTGTTTGTAGCTCCTTCTACCTGATGATTAAGCTCGAAATCTGGATAGTTGTAAACAACAAATTTTTGTGCACAACCATCTTTAACAAAAAGTGAATCTACATACTCAACCCACCCTCGTCGTTTCTACTGTGAAACCATTGGTAAGTTTTTGGTAAATTGTTTATTGTGTGTGCTGCCAATGTCAGTGTCACTTGTAAATAAGTTAATTAACAATAAATACAGTTTGTATAAAAATAAATATTTCTTTAGTGTGACAGGCATAATTTAAGTATTGGCCCTCAGCTCTAGTACCACAGGCAGCCAAGAGAAAGCAGGATACGGCCTCTTGTATGTTCTGGAATGTCTAGCTCCTGTTCTTTCCTTAAATCCTGTTCCTCAGGATCTCTAAAAAGCGAGTTGTTGGCATCATTCGAATACCACGCATTTCTTGAACATTTTTTCAACTTTTTTACTCGTTTTCATAGTCTATGGACGCCGATATTGAACCGAAAATGAAAAAAAAAGGTTGACGAATATTGTTTTAAATATAAAAATAACAATTTTCATTATAAAAAACGGACAGGAAGTAAATGGCTTTTATAAAACAAAATATTGAACCAACTATGAATTTTTTACAAATTTTAAGTTTATATTAATTTAATCTGTAACTTTTCATTGTTCTACTTCCTTCTTTAATTAATTTATTTATGAAATAAATTATTGATAGAAAATTTACTATGAAGTTCAAGCTAATAAGTTGAAGCTCAATATGCTAGTTAAACGCTCGTTTAAACATCAATTTTTATTTTTATTGCAGTATAATAAGATTTTATAGAAACAAACCGTATAGAATCAATCATTTTTGATTGTGTGTGGTGATTAGTGACCATTAATCGATAATTATTCGGAAATCGTGTGATGCGGTCTGGTGTGATGTAGGTTTCAGAAAAACATTTTCTTTATCGTGCCAACGTTTCGATCTTTATTGAGACCATCTTCAGAGCATGGGATTTACAAACATTGTTTACATTTAACAAATACATTTAGGATGTGAAAAAGTGAATTTATACAATGCAAAATATATATTTTTTATATTCAATCAACGTATTTAAAAGAAATATATATTTTGCATTGTATAAATTCACAATTTCACATTCAATAAAGATCGAAACGTTGGCACGATAAAGAAAATGTTTTTCTGAAATGTCCATGTTGTGTGATCTTATTTCTTTATTCTTATTATTCTTCGTGCCTTATTAGCTTTAAGAGGAAAAATTAATCAAGTTCACCTACAGCAAACTGTAAGCATAAATTTAAACAAACTAAACATGGAAGTCAAAGTTATTAACGAAAATAGAAACTAGAATGTAGTGTTTTGTCAACTAAAGAAATCATTTTCATTGGATAGCTAATGATTTATCTATAGGATAAACAATGTAGCAAATTCTAATTGGTTTTAGGTAAAAAAAATGTACTACTATTTATTTATTGTTTGTTTTTTTAATAAAAAAATCACGCATGGAAGTTTAACGAATTCGATTGTTTCAGTTGTGTTAAATCCTTCCAACTCTTTTGCAGCACCAATCCTTGGGTTCTGATTAAAAATTCTCCAACAGCTTTTCTTTTAGAAAGTAAGCAGAATGGAAAACGGTCTGAAGGAGAAAAGTCAGTACTGTAGGATGTGTGCACTAAAAGCTCGATTTCATTCGTTTTTGGAAGTTTTTTCTTTGTATGTCGAGATTTGTCTTTTCTTGAGGGCAGTTCATTTTATTCACCGAAGTTGGATGTCTTACATCACTAAAATCCCGTACTTACATTGCAGTTGTTTTGAATAGAGATCAGAATTGAAAGATGAAACCATGAGGAGTATGTAGCAAATAATGTAACATAATTACATCGTTTTTTCGGATCCGCTCGAGACGGTAAATTTCAGACAGACGAGAGCGGATAAATTTAAACTGCTCAAAAATGAATAGGTATATTGCCAATTTTGTAGTGTTTTCTTTCACTAGCATTTTTATTTTTATTCTAAATGGCATTAAAATTTATTAGAAATTATTGTTTTTTTTTACTGAAGGAAAGTTTAAGAGATTTTGAAAAATAACAAAATAAATTATTTTAATTCCATAATTTTATTTATTGGACACAATTTTTTTTTTTTAAACAATAATGTGTTAGCTAAAACCCCTGTGCACCTATAGTAAGGTCGTCACTAATTTCATAAGAATTTCACTCTATAGAAGTTGCAATGCTGACTTAATCAACTGGCTGCGGATGGTGATCGAAAAGCCTTTTCTGCAACGCATTCCACGTGTGCTCAGTGAGATTAAGGTCTGGAGACCATGGGAGAAGGGGAAGATGGGAAATTACCAGGTTTTCATTTCAGATTACATAAATGAACAATTCTGCGTCTATCAGGTTTGGCATTGTCATCCAGAAATCGAAAATTCTTGCCAATAAGATCCCTGGTAAGAGAGATTATTCTTCGATAATTCCTTGGACATAACGGACTGCGGTGAGGTTGTCTTCAACAATATGGAGTGCAGTCCTTCCTCCGGCGTAAATCCCAGCCCAGACACCCCTCCAAACTGCACTGAAGAGAGCACGAACTGGGGCATCGGTAGACTTGCCTTCATTCCCTATACAGACAGAAACGCGACTCATCAGTAAACATAACATTCCAATTGGTGCTCTCTTCTAGGCGCTCGCTACATTGCCGCACCATATTATCCTGAGTTCTGGTGGCGCCCTATTGCTGCAGGTTGTCTCAAAGAGACATGGGATGTGCACTCATCTCTAAAAAGTACAGCAGACCAATCCTCCAAAGACCTGGCTGTGTTCTCGTGCAAATGCGAGCCGTGCAACTCTGCATTTTCTGGTCAATTATGGTGCTTATACGAAAAGCCATCAGTCCATACTGATTTAACTTTCTTCGAGCAGTGCCTTCAAAAATTTGAATACCTCGAATTTCCTGGAGCTGATGAATCATGTGAACATCAGTAAGGTGCTGGTTTCGCGATGGTCATCCTGTGGTTCTGTTACCCTAGGGCGTCCAGAACCAGGCCTTCTATGGTAGGACCCAGTTTCTCGAAAACGTCTAACAGCATCTCCCTTTGTTTCGTAGGGAACTTCGATGGCTATAGTCGCATACCTGATGGAACGTTCATCATCAATAAGTGCCGCACCACGCGCAACATCCTCAGCACAAAGTGGCATTTTTAAGTTTAAAAATTGAAATTAAGAAAACAAAGATGAAAACTAAACAGTTTGGAAACATATGATGTCTAGTAACCGTTAATTAATGATTAGAGATCGTGAGATGCGGTTTGGTGTGATGTGGGTTTAGAAAAACATTTTCTTTATCGTGCCAACGTTTCGATTTTTATTGAGATCATCTTCAGGGCCTGGGATTTATAAACATTGCATAAATCATACAAATACATGTAAGAATTTACAAAATGTACAAAATATAGAAATTTTAGTTTAATCAAAGTGTACACAGAAACAGTGAGTGAGTACAAATAATTTGATTAAACCTAAAATTGTGTACATCACCGTATAAATTTATTTTCACATCTTACACGTATTTATATATTTTAAACAATGTTTATAAATTCCAGGCCCTGAAGATGATCTAAATAAAAATCGAAATTTTGGCATGATAAAGAAAATGTTTTTGTAAACCCACATCGCACCAGACCGCATCTCACGATCTGTAAAGAATTACTAAACAGTTTATTGATTCAGAATTCAAATGAGACTGAATAAACATTTTAAATTCCGTAAAAAGTAAACATTGAAAAATCCTTTATCCTAGTTTGGGATTAAGAATTAAGTGTGTTTACCTCTAATTGATATTCCTAATTTAAAACATAGCACAAAGAAATATTTATTGGCAAAAACAATGAGACAAATTAAGGGTAGAATTTTTTTATATAGAGAAAATGAAAAAAAAAAGAATTGGGTGGAATTTTTAGCCTGACAATATATATTAAAATTTAAGTGTGGTGGGTTACGTTTGTCCATCGGTGTACTAAGCATGTAATAATTTATTGGAACATGGAAATAAAGTAATTTTTAAAAGCCCTATTGATAAGTGAAGATTAATAAAATAAATCCATAAGATAAGTTGGGGAAAAGATAAAAGATTTAGAATTGGGATTCGTCTGACATGAGACGGGAATCGACTAATGACGTCATAGTTGTTGCACGCACCATCCGAGGCCGCCCCACTGCCGCTCAGTTTACTCGTTGCGGCGAGGTTCTGCAGTGTTTCCACAACTGAGCCCCCACCCATGTCCGGAGCAGACAAGCCAAAATTCCTTCCCCAACTCAACTAATCTCAGTCGACAGTTTATCTGTGATGTGCTCGCGGCCCGTTTTCAACAGAAACCCGACTCCATTCGGCTAGATCGGCGTCCCTCCTTCGAAAGCGATGGAGGACGAAGTGGCCTCGTTCAAAAAGGAGCTGAACGCCCTGAAAGAGATCGCCCTCGACCAAAAGCTCCACTTCGAACGATGCTGCCACGAATCCGACAAGCGGATGGTCGAAGCGTTCCTCGTCATCCTGGAGAATCTCGAGCCGATGGAAATGCTCTTCGAATACCTGGCGAGCAAGGCGGCCCTCTACGACTGGGACGAGGACGTGCCCGGCAACGGGTACAGGACGATGCTCAAACTGGCCATCCTCGTCGTGAAAGGGGCCAAAAACCTCTCCCATGAAATACAGGCAGTGAGGACGTCCATGTTCTTCAGAAGAGAATCGTACTTGAGGTCAGTTTTCCTTCAACTTCCTTTTATATTGACAGTTTGATCGTTTCGTCTGTCCAGTATTTCGCCATCGTCAGTAATACAAACACTACATAATCCAAATAAATCTTGCAACACAACTTTCCATAATTAAACATAAGACACTTGCTATTGCTAAAGTCATACACATACAAAAAACTAAAATACACATTAACATTCTCATTCTCATTCTCATTCTCTTACTTGTTAATTGGCTTTTATTTTAGTCTTCTCTTTCTTTTTTCATTATAGATCATTTTTATTGTGGTAATTATTAGATATGTTCTGGAAGTTTACTTCTAACAAATGAGTATAAAAAACATCTTTGTAGCACATTATTACGTACTACGAAGAAATATGTATATGTACGAATATCACACTTATTTTCACCTTCACTTGCTAGAAATGTGTTTTGTGTTTGACTTTCCTTTGGCAGTATCAACCACAGACGTTAACATTCTTATTCACATTCACTTTCTTCTTATAAACTATACCTTGAAACAGCCCATGTGGAAAAGAGGTGCAGTTTAATGACTCAACAACTGTATACTTTGTGTGATTTTCAAAACGGCTTTTGTTATGTATGGTCGTCTATTTCTTTTTCCATTACAGATAATTTTTATTCAGAAATCGTGAGATGCGGTCTGGTGTGATGTAGGTTTTAGAAAAATATTTTCTTTATCGTGACAACGTTTCGATCTTTATTGAGATCATCTTCAGGGCCTGGGATTTGCAAACATTGTTTACATTTAACAAATACATTTAGGATGTGGAAAAGTGAATTTATACAATGCGAAATATATTTTTTATATTCAATCAAAGTATTTCTACTCACTTAAAGTGTTTGTCTTCTGTGTAATTGTGCCATTCTTGCGTGTCGTGTTTAGATGGTTTTTCTGAAACCTACATCACACCAGACCGCATCTCACGATTTCTGAATAATTATCGATTAACGGTCACTAATCACCACACATAGATAATTTTTGTTGTGCCAGCTATTAGATATGTTCAGAAAGTGTACTTCTTCAAACTAGACCTAACAAATTAGAATAAAAATGCCTATTTACCATACGTCCGTACTACCAAGAAATATGCATATGTGCGTATGTCACACTTATTCTCGTGTTCAATAGCTAGAAATGTGTTTTGTGTTTGAATTGCATTTTATAGTATTAAGCACATATTAACATTCTCATTCACATTCACTTGTTAATGGCTTTTATTATGGTCTTCTCTTTGTTTTTTCATTATAGGTAATTTTTATTGTGACAGTTATTAGATATGTCTAGACACTGAACTTCCCATAACAAATGAATATAAAAAAAGATCTTTTTTGTACATTATTACGTTCGTACTACGAAAAAATATGCATATGAGCGTATGTCACACTTATTCTCATGTTCAATAGCTAGAAATGTGTTTTGTGTTTGAATTGCGTTTGATAGAATTAAACACACATTAACATTCTCATTCACATTCACTTGTTAATGGCTTTTATTATGGTCTTCACTTTCTTTTTTCATTATAGATCATTTTTATTGTGGCAATTATTAGATATGCCCAGGACGTGTACTTCTAACAAATGAGTATACAAAATATCTTTTGAACACATTATTACGTTTGTACTTCGAAGAAATATGCATATATGCACACTTGTTCTCATGTTCAATAGCTAGAAATGTGTTTTGTGTTTGAATTGCGTTTGATAGTATTAAACACACATTAACATTCTCATTCACATTCACTTACTTGTTAGAAACTATACCTTGGAACATCCCATGTGGAAAGGAGGTGCAGTTTAATGACTCATCATCTGTATACTTTCTATGATTTAATTGCTAAAATTGTGCTTTACGTAGTGCATTTCTATGCTAGTGTTAATTTTAAAACAATTTAATTGTTCGTATTTGCTTTTTAATTACTTCACACAAATTAGTACCTAGAACTGGGTAAAAAGTGCACGTAATACGAACAGATAAAACATTCTTTATTGTCTTTATTTTAAATTTAAAGAATGAGTTGTTTTATTGAATTTGTCGGTGGAATGAACTAAAATACATACTTTTCCGGCCTCTATTCTACAGAATTTTATTTCTGTTTTGTTTATTGTAATAGTAGTCTAACCATATTTTGGCTAACAAAATCGTATGTAGCATGTGGTTTTTGTGCATGTAATTTGAATGAAATTTTTTACATACCGTTATATAAAAAGACAATAGCTAAGAGTATTACATACCGTGTGAGTTTTTAAAAAGGTATGGCCTTTTATTTTTAGGCTGCTTATTTTATTGTAAAACTAAGTATAAATCTAAAGGTAATTTAGGAAGAATCTGCTAGTGCTATTAGAATTTAAATAATTTATTGGCGATGTGATGATCTATTTAAAAAAAACAATAAAAAAACATATATATTAATGATGTTTTGTTGTGAGCTTCGAATGCCGTTTTTAAATAGAGCAATAATAAATAATATTAATCATATTCACATTCAAATGTCGACTTTCTGACAGTTGGTCAACCAATTATTTTTGTATTATAATGCCGTAAGCTAAAAAGTAAGTTAAGTTAGTTGAACCCCTCAAAGTCACAACATATCACCTTTACACTCCGTCGTGAGACTTGTCCTAGCATATACTTATACAATGAACCTGTTCCTCAATCCGACAAAGTTAAGTATTTAGGACTTGCATTTGATAGAAGACTAACTTGGAATCCACACACACGATTAAAAAAACAAACACTGAACAAACGATTTAAAATTCTTTATTACCTACTCAACCGACAATCAAAATTACCATTAAAATCAAAACTTTCGACATACACATACCTACTCAAACCTATTTGGATGTACGGGTGCCAAGTGTATGGATCGGCGAAGTATTCCAATATTCAAAGATTACAACGTTTTCAATCCAAAATTTTATGACTAATTGTTTCTGCCCCATCCATCAAAACATATTACAGACGTTTTCGTAGTAAATTACAAAATCACACCAACACACAAATACGACTACTCCATTCCCCTCAATTACCACGTAAACATCTGAAAAGAATATGGATAACAGACCTCTTAAATGATTAATATCATTTCATTAATCCAGAGCGGCTGCCAATGGGTAGCTTTCTCTATAACGCCCATATTGCCAAACACATAATCTGAAATCCAATCTGCTGGTTGTATATAATACATGTACAGTTGTAGATACAAATAAATGAAGTAAAAAAAACAAGTTCGTTCCGTACGTTCCAAGGTTATTGTACTAACATATCAATAATGGTCCTTGCTGTTATTGGACTGACCTCAGAAGCATTTAATGCACAATTAATTTCAATTAACTACTATATTTTTATGGGTATCGGTAGATTTCTCTATTAATTTCTTTCTGCATTAACCGTTTTGCATTATTTCACTTAAAAGATCAATAATCTTAAGTAAAGAAATACAAGTACATTTGTCTAATCCACGGGAAATTGTGAACGAGGCAACGTTGATCAAGTATAGTAAATATTATTTAAACATTAACTTGTTGGTTGAAACATACTTTTAATGTAAATTAAATTTACAATACTCTTGAGAAAGGAGTGCCTCTGTATTAGGAAGTGTCTTAAATCCTACATAGTGTACACTTTGATTAATTAATCACAGATTGGTATCAAAAACCGAGAGGCACAGATCGCTACCTCATCTTTACATCCCACCATCCTCTTCATACAATAATAAATACGGCCAAAGGGTTACTTCACAGAATTATTATTCCTAAGCCATGAATCATTTCACCATAAGAACATAAAGATATACAAACAGATCCTCCATAACAATCACTACCCTAAGCACATAATCAAAAGACTAATCAACAACTACAACTCAACACTAACACCTTCCACTAGTACTAATAATACTACATCAAATCTATCAAATACATACAAACCAACATACATTTCCATGCCATTTTTTCACGGCCTATCACATAAATTAAACACATTTCTCTCGTCCAAAAACTTCAAAATAGCTTTCAAAAATGATAAAACAATTCAAACACTTTTTTCTAAAATTAAAGATCCCACACCAATAACAAATAAATCTGACGTAATCTACAAAATCAACTGTTTAAACTGTACAGCAACTTACATCGGTCTTACATCCGATATGTCATATGCATCTGGATAAGAGAGTAAAGCAACATATGATTGCAAAAAACCCAAGCAAAATCCTACAGCACTCGCTACCCACCATTTTGAACACAAACACAATTTCGACCTCAAAAATATTACACATAGAACAAAACAAACATAAACGTAACTTTTTAGAAATGGTTTACTTCAACAGAGATAAACAGCATTAATTACAGAACAGACACATGTAAACTCAGTCGCAGCTACGCTAATATCATTTATCAAATTCAATACCGATAACATACATCATCACATCACACAAAACATATCACATTACATGTAACACATTCATCATATTCCACTCATCAAACATTTTTACATAGTCTAGTTTTTGAACAATTTAGCTTTCCTTTTCCTATTTATCCCTGCCTATATAATCCTGAAAGGATAATCTGGCCGAACCATTACCAACGTTTTTTTCCCATCATCGGCTCTTTTCACCTCAAAGAAGCCGACTCCTCATACAATTCCGACTTCCTCCCCCTCCCCCTCAAAATCCAACGTATATAAACATAAAACAGCAATATCTCACTGGCACTCTCAACACGACACGCAAGAATGGCACAATTACGCAGAAAACAAACACTTTGAATGAATAGAAATACTTTGATTGAATATAAAAAAATATTTTTTGCATTGTATAAATTCACTTTTTTCCACATCCTACATGGTTTTGTTAAATTTAAACAAAGCAAAATCAAACGCCTCATTTACATCATCATCCTGAAACACTTTTGGATAAACTTTTAGGTTCAACCAAACGTTGCAACCTCCAAAGTATCCACTCCTAACCGTTCAACATCTTAACTAGTC